AGAAGCCCCCATCCACATGGCTCTTTGAAAATGCATGACAGACTCTTCCCATCTATCAATCTACTTTCCTCTGAACAGAAAAAAAAGAAAGAGATAAACTATCATTGAGAAAATTTGCTATATAAAAAATAATAGTGGAAAACATAGAAGGCTCAAAGTGATCAGCATGGCCATTTGCTCACAGGGGAGACTACACTGGCAGTTCTCTGAGGGACAATGTGGCCTTACTAAAATGAAGGAATTAGTTGGAGACAAAAAACAGTCACAGAGCCAAACTATCCAGACTTCCTGCTGAATAATTATATTTCTAATCTGTCATCACTTTATATATTTCTACACATCTTTCATTATAAAACCAACTGTAAGCAGTTAAAAAGTCCACTATTTTGAAAATGGTAAATACAGAGATGAGCCTGCTATTGATTGTGTATTTGGTTTTTCCTGGGGTTGTAAATTGTCTGCATATTTGTTTACTGGGGATATATCCAACGAGAAAAATACTGAGAACACTTTATTATTTTATTTTCAGAAAATTACTTTTAAAAAGTTATAAACATGTTTTTGATATCTGGAAACTTATGAAGAACTGAGTGTCTGTGACACCATGAAAGAAAATAGATTTATATTTGAGAAATTCAAGCCAGACTTCTCAGAAAAAAGTATACAATAAGATAACTGTGTTGATAAAACAACCTGAATCAAAAAGTCAACCACTTTGAAAAGCTGTAGAAAAGGTCAGTAGTTGTATATTCTAACCAATGACCAATCAGTGATGTAATATTTACAAAGTGCCTGCTTTAATATTTAAATGCCACCCTCTAAACATCCAATCCTGCCACCATATCAGCTTTTAAATTCAGAATTCAGAATTCAGAGTGTAGGATGCGCTGGTGAAAACAGCGTGGATTAAAAACAGGGACTTTGGACTCGAGGACAGTGGAGTTTGAACGAGTACTCTAGCATTTACTGGCCATTTGACCTAGAGCCAGCTTCTAATGGTTTCTGAGATACTCTTTCTTCCTTTTATTGAAAACGCATTTCTCCTCAAATAATATATCCTGGTTATGGTTTTCCTTTCCTCTTCTATTCCTTTCAGTTCCTTCCCATTTTCCCTCCAATCCAAATCCACCCCCTTTCTGTCTCTCTTTAGAAAATAAACAGGCTTCTAAGGGATAATGATAAAATGAAATATAATGAAATAAAACAAAAACTAGCACATTGATTGAATAGTTCAATACAAACATACCAAAGGAAAAGAGACAAAAGGTACAAGAAACAGAGATAGACAGAGACCCATTTATTCACACATCTGAGCTTTTTTATTCAAAAAATAAATTAAAATGATAGCTCATTTGCTGCAATGCTATCAGGGTTTATTTTGCAGTATTATAAATTATTTGGCAAATAGTAAATATTCAGAAAATAGTAGACATTCATAATTATAAGAGAAGACGGTGTGCATTTTTTAAAAGAAGGAGCAAGTCATAATTTCTTACAACTGTGAATAGAAGCCTGTAGGACCTATACAGAGAATGTTTTGGGGCAAAACAAGGCTAAATATATTTCTGATTTGTCTACATGAAATCTCTTTAGACTGGTGCTTCAGAAACTTCCATAGAAGCCAGATTCTTCTCATTTCAATAATGCAGAGCCTGACTGTGTGATTTGTTCTCACCAATGGGCTGTCAGCAGACATATGACAGACAGATAGATGAAACATCCAGGCATTTGGCTGGCTGTCTTCACCTCTTCCAGTAACCTTAAAACAACATAGATTGACCGACCCTCATCTCCCAGAGACACTTAAAGCCCAGCCAGGCTTCCTCTTTGGGATCCAGTCTAGATGTTTGAATTGGCATCATAGGAACACATGAGTGAGCTCCCCTAAATACAGGCTGGCTTTTCTGACCCTCAATCACAGTGGAGTAAATGATTGTTGTTTACAGAACTGGATGTTAGGCCAAGTCTTTTAGCTGCATTTCTCTTGCAACAATTAATACTTTGTGGCTATTATACTTGCAGAGTTGCTGTGGGCACATTCATGTATTTATGTGACGGTTTTAAGGACATACCTTCAACATTTACCAGGACTGTAGTACAAATGAAAGGGGTGGTTTGAGAAACAGAAGAAAAATGTGTGATCCTGAATGTAGGCATGTATTTAGAGTCAGTTCCCTAAGTCGGGAAACAAGCTCTTCGAATGGCTCTAGAATCCAACCTTCAGGATTTCAAGCATCAACGAAAAGACAAGAAAATAAATACAAATGTAGTATGAATCGTTAGAGAGTCTTATCAATAAAAACAAACCTGGAGCCAGGTATTGGGGTGAACTCTGAAAGATCAGAGAAGCATAACAAGCCACAGCGTCCTCACCTCCCCAATTCCTCAACTGATCCTGTTTCCTCAGACTGGAAGCCTCTGAGTTCTCATGCAAATAGATCTCAGCTGAACTTCTGATAAAAACCTAAAAGCTTAACCAGGCCTAGTTCCTCGTCCTCATGCCTTATATACCTTTCTGGTCCCTGCTATCACTTCCTGGGATTAAAGCCTCTTGTTTCCATGCCTGGCTGTTTCCAGTGTGGCTTTGAACTCACAGAGATCCAGACAATCTCTGCCTCTGGAATGCTAGGTTTAAAGGCATATTCTGGCCTCTATATCTAGTGGCTGTTCTGTTCTCTGACTCCAGATAAGTTTATTAGGATGCACAATATTTTGGGGAACACAATATCACCACATACAAAACTGTAACACATTCTCTCCTCCATTCCAAAATGTGTAACAGCAACTTCTTCCCAATTATAACCTTTGTATTTCCAAAGACAGTAAATATGTCTTGCCTATCAAGTGTTTTTTTAAAAAAGTAGTTGTTTTGAGTAACAAAAACAGACTAGGCAAATCACCAAAGAAAAGTGGATCAGAAAATAAGTAAATCATAAACATTTTACTTTTCTTGCTATATCGTGATAAAATATTTTTGTACGCCTCTGCTTTTCTTTAAATAGTGTGTTCCAGTGTTGACAGATTAAGAAGCATTTAGTCTATGACCTAGAGATGCAAGGAAATTCCACATGCTACAATAAAGATACTGAAAAATATTTTTAAATACATGGCCAAGCTGGGAAAAAAAAAAGTCCTTCAGATGCAGGAATGCAAGTGAACTCAAAGGTACAACAGCAGTTGTGTTCAAAGCTCAGGGCCCCAGAGGAGTTGCGCCAGGCATGATACCAGGAGTGTGGCCTACAGTTCTGACGCCAGTCTAAGGCCAAGCCATATGATCTTGGGAGAGAAACTTGGAAGATCTGTTCACAAAGGTAGAATAATTAAAGGCCTATCCAACTGCTGCAGACAACTAGAAAACCTCTACCCACTGGCTTGAGGATATGTAGATTATTGTATGTGGTTTTGTCTAGGAAGAAGAAATTGTCATGAATAACAATAAAATGCTAACTTTGTACCTTGTATAGGTGTGGTAGACTAAATTTGTATACTCTTCATGCTAAGAAATTGAAAGTCCTAAGATTTGGAGAGGAAATGTCAAAAAATGTCCAATTATCATACAGAAAAATATACTATATCCAATATATACAGACGTTTGTGAAATAATAATAGTGGAGGTGGAATGAGGAGAAGCCCTCATCAAATACAAATTCATATTTTTTAAAAAGAAAAAATCATGATGGGGAAGGCAGGACAAATTCAGGAATGGCACTACAAGTAAAATTATTTAAAGAAAAGGTGCAAGGTATAGTTAAAATAACCAAGTTGTAACAGAGAAAAATCATGATGAAATGTGACCAAAAAATGAACTATTAAAAATACCCACATTTTCTGGTGCACATTCACAATGGACTTGCAGCTGCAAAGAATGAAAATAAAGTTATGAAATTTGCAGGTAACTGGATGAACTGGGGAAAAATTATACTTGAGTGAGGCCATTCAGGCTCAGAAAGCCATTCTGTGCTCTCTCCCATATGTGGGAACTACCTTTGAAGTTTTAGGTTTGTGGGATTTAATTTTGAATATCCATGGAAGCCAGAAAACTAGAAAAGGATTACTGGGGTCCCAAGAGTGTTTCTAAGTGAGGGGGGTAGTAAGTGTTGGGAAGGGGAAAAGGGAAATAATGGAGAGATGGTTTAAGTAGAGAAGGAGATGGGGAGCAGAGCAAAGGAGAGTGCAGGGAGACAGAGAACTAATACTTAGGATATTTGAAAGAGCCATATAGAAGCCAGTATTTTTATAAGCCATATTATATTATGTTTTATATTATTATATTATATTATATTATATTATATTATATTATATTATTATATTATATTATTATATTATATTATATTATATTATATTATATTATATTATATATTATATTATATTATATTATAT